AGGATCTATATTTGTAATTGTTTACTGTATATTTTTAACATAGCCATTCCTTTGTTATGTGCCTTGTATCCATTATTAGCCATTACAATTTAATTTCAATTGATATTTCATGTACATGAATTTCTGATACATTTGATGCTTTGTTTGAATTCTTGTAAAAATGCTTTTAATTGTGACAGTCTGTGAAAATCAGTAAAATTTTAATTAGGTACTAAAGACAGATTATCGATATGTTAGTTTATTCAAATTAACTACCGCTTACACATTTACCCCAGTCTCATATCAATGTCTTCTTTTAACCTTTATATTTTCTAGGGACATAATGGTTGTGTTAACTGTCTAGAGTGGAATCAGAAAGGAGAGTAAGTACTAATTTGTGGTGTTATCTTATGTCTTTCAACTGAGAATAGTTTGTAGATTGTAATTACCATGAAAGGGAAAATATTTGTTTTTCTGTTTGATGTATACATTATGTATTTATAAGGAGTGACCTAGATTTTTATATTTTTCTTCTTGATTTTATCATTAGAATACTGTAAAATTTGCTTGGAATTAATTTCCGCTATTTTCACTGAAGGAATGATTCAGTGAAAATAAAATCCAGCGAATATACCTTTTTTCCATATCTTACATTCAACTCGCCAAAAACTGACCTAAAAAGTCTTTTCAGTGAGAATTACAGCAAGTCTCAGAAGTATTGGGGCAGCCAATTTGCAAACTCACTAGCGAATTGGCTAAATGTTTGGGTTTTGACTAAACAGTTGGCTCCCGAATCTCGCTGGCACCGACTCTATTTTTCATTAGGGAACATAATATGCTTTTACGTAGCCTGGTACATGTCTGGATTCCCCCGAATGATTTGCTTTGCGAGGCATGGTAATGTGAAAGTAGTTTCCCTGGTCATCTCCCCTGAGAATGGCCACAGTAAGCTGGCGTACAAGTGATAATATGATAAATGCGATTAATCCACCGATATTTACTATATGGGGGTAGCCATCTTGAACACTGATTAAAATAAAGAGACAAGTTGAGAAAGTTTCCTATAAATCAGGGAGAAAATAAATGTTCACATCCAAACGATTCGTTGGGGTAACATTAAACCAACCGCTAATAAAATTCTACTTCATTCATCGTTTTTGCGTGGATAATCCCTTGTATAGAAACATCACGAAGAAAATAGAACACTTTCCCTGGTATATTTGAAAGCGAAATCGCCATCCAACTAAAGTATGACGACTGTCCCCTTCTGTTATATAGATTCACCCAGAGTGGACGCGACCACGAGTCGGCGCCAGCGAGATTCGAAAGCCAACTGTTTAGTCAAAACCCATGCAGTTAGCCAATTCGCTAGCAAGTTTGCAAATTGGCTGCCCCAATACTTCTGAGACTTGCTGTAATTCCAGCTATTTTACAGTAGTATAGGTATTTACTGATGTTGTGTAACAATGTTATTACTGTATATAGTACATATGCTTTCATAAATGACAGGGATAATTTGTCAGGTGTCAAACAAACAAAAATTGCATGAGGGAGCACTGCAATTCAGCGGCGCCACCAAGTAGGGGAAATTGGGTACTCCCTACCAGGGTGTTAAGAACGCAGTTCTGACTGACTGCTTATACCATTTATTTAACCATGCAATTTCAACGTAAAACTGCAACAAGAAATATAACAATACAATGAAATACAATATAGGAAAATCGAAATTACATCGGATAACAAAACGTATCAAAGTATACAAAATCAGTCTATCGCGATACAATACTGGTAATACCAGTGTATATAATATGGTGACTAAAATAACTATAGACGTCTATGACACCACATCAACTATACTACAGTACTAAACAGTAACCACAAAATACTGACTAATGTCAAAATAAGCACAGTGGATGTAAGGAAATCATATGGTAAATATTACCAATAGCAAGACAATACTGTACACATACTGGGTACACTCGCTGGTAATAGCAAGTACACAATGTCAGATTAATACTACAAATGTCTAACACAATGCTGTGCATAGATCTACAAAATCACAATAGCTGCCTACTACATAAGTGCATGTATACAACCTAACTATAACCGGAAATACGAAAAGGAAATATGTGTGCTTTTGACAAATGCGTCATACAATACAGTCTACCGATCGATGACTTATAGAACGATCATATGACTACAAATTACACTGTGAAACAAGTACCGGTAACAATGGCTCAGAATAATAGACAATACACTAGTTCTACTAACCTCAGTTCCCGAGTACGTAAAAACATGGTAAAAGATACTAATACGTGTAGTTTCGATCACGCGCTGCATACATTATTTATAAACAAACCGCCATAACGAATCTCACTGAAGTCTCAGCGAAATCTTGCTAAAGTCACGTTCGTACAAGATCACGCAAAACTGCGCGAGAGTTAGCTTAAAATAAATTTAGAACTGTGTTCGTTACACAGGGTATGGAGTTTTTGATAATTGTAAGTTAAAATGGAGCATTCTATGGCTTTCTTGAAGCCAAAATTACTATCAGATAGGTCACAGTTGAAGACTTGTGGGCACATGTGATCCTTAGTCAATCAGAATTTTATGGTTGCCAGAGGATCTGCTACCCAGGGTAAGGAAACGCATGGCCATGGCATGAGTGTGCTACACCCAAAATAAGTCGTATTTTTTATTGATCCAGCAAACACATCTGCAACTGTAGGTTTACATTGTGCTTCTAATAGAGCAAATACGATACATGGCTTAACAAAACACTCAACAACTACCGTTTGTATTTGAAACTTCACTTAGGCAATGTTTTCGATAATCATCGAACCAAAGCATTTTTTCTCCACATTTGATAAATTTTTTTCATGACCATGTTTGATGTCAAGACAGACCAGCTTTCTCACAGTTTGATCTACACATGGTGAAAACTATTTGTATCTTATATTAATTCGCTGTGCTCTTTTTAACTTTTCATGCAAAACAATATTATCAAGTAATTTTTTTAAACAAAGCACATGACCTTAACTTGACATCTCATGATGTATGTACAAAATGTATCATACTACATATTTGATGACCTAATCAGAGATTGTACCAGTGATGATTTCCACGAAATATGAAATTCGATGTAATTACTCACAACATAAGTATACCCCAAGCAAGAGAAAATCTACAAAAATTACCGATTACATTCAAACTTAATACATCATCATGAATCTTAAGATACACATGCATGTCTATTGGTTTTACAATCCTGCAAACATCAGACATCCTGGAACATTGATGCTGCCTGGCGACCATTTCGTTTAAAAGTGCCTGTGAAATGGCTGCTATTTTCACACCTAAAATTATCCATTGATACATAAATATTATTAATTTTTATGTTTCTAAGCGTAAATAATTTTTTTAAGTGAAAAAAATGTGTTTTTATCTCAGTCTACGGAAACTTTATTTTTGTGTATTTTAAAACGAGGCTCCTCATTAGCTCCTCATTTGCATACAGAAATTCCCCTTGTGACGTCAGAAGGGGAAGTCGCTGGGCAGCTTGCATTGCCGATACGTGTAAATAAGGCAAATTTCTTGTGCTGTTTTCTCGTCTTTGACTAAATTGCCACTTATGTACTTGTTCGTCGAGGAAGAATGGACCATAATGAACACATAGTATCAAGTTTGTTGCATTGGGTTGAGTCAGATGCGAAATATGTCTGGTCTGGTGTCGCTAGTCACCGTCACCGGAGCACGTTTGTTCACTGTCGCTGGACTCCGGCATTGGACAAAATCGAATTTGACAGATGAATCGTCTTGTTATTTATCAGGTTACTAGACACTATTGATTTATAAAATAGAGAAATAATTTTAAAAAAACGACAAAACACAGTTACTGAATAAATGACTGCCGCGTTGTAATGGGTGAACGCGTCGGGTCATGAGGGGGACAAGTGCGTGAATGGCGGCGTTTAATTGGATAACAAAAATTATTGAGAGCCCGGATTTTTATTCCGTAAATTATTACGCCGATCAAGCTGCAAGTAAAGGCAACAAAGGTGTGAATTCGACATTCAACACCAATAACCGAACAATTCAGACACTTTTAGCC